AGAGAGAGAGAGAGAGAGAGAGAGAGTGTGTGTGTGTGTGTGTGTGAGAGAGAGAGACTGAAGAAACATAATATAAGGTTGGTAGACATTCAGTTTAGCAAAGTTCAAATATATAAATGGTCACCTGTCAGAAAACATAATATAAGGTTGGTAGACATTCAGTTTAGCAAAGTTCAAATATATAAATGGTCACCTGTCAGAAGAAACACAATATAAGGTTGGTAGACATTCAGTTTAGTAAAATTCAAATATATAAATGGTCACCTGTCAGAAAAACAACAACAACCCCTACTTCAGAAAGGTTTCTGAAAGACACATGCAGGTCAAAATGTAAGACATTTTGGCCTTATCGCTTCTCTGTGGAAGTAAAGAAGTCACAGCCAGACATGAGCCAATACCCCCTACATCGCACTGTTTCTTGGGGTTGCTCCGGTGTAGTTCAGCGAGAGGCTTCCCCTACAGCCTACCCTTTCCATGGAACACTGGGTGACTCCCAAGGTGCAGTAGGACTGAGGGGCCATTCCCTTCTCCCTCCCAGCTGAAGCATAAGTAGTGAAGCAGGAATTGAGGCATTTTGTTTTTGCTCTCCTAGTGCAAGACGTCTCCCAGAAGGGCGGCGATTTGGGGCAAGTTCTGGAGCTGGCATCTGAAAGCCCCGTCCAGAGCAGCTAAAACTGGGCAGGGGCCTGAGTAGCCTCTTGCACTGGGGAACGGAAAAATGTAAGAACTGGCAATAGCAATAGCAAGCAAACTTGCCTTATCCAGCAATGACAGTTTGTGGCTGCCTAACTAGATAGGCATGGAAAATACACCACATTCATTTTTTAAAATGGCTCTTGAAATGTGCAATTCATGACAGAGGAAGAGGGCTTTTTTCTCCCCTTCTGCAACATACCTGAGAAAAAGTTTTTGCAAGGATGCATTTCGTAACTCACTACCTTTCTATCAAATGCATTTTCCTCTGCATTTCTGCATAGGAAAATGTTTACCACATGAAATCTGTTAAGATAGGGTGATTTCCTGAAGTGAAGTGTTTTTCATAGGATTGAGAAAAACTGGACTTCCTTGGTCGAATTTGAATGGATTTGAAGAGAAACCCATCATTTGAAATATTCCTCCAATTTTCTTTTTTTGAATCAGGATGATGAAAACCCTGTTTAAAATCTTTGTATCAGATTAATAGGCCTCAATCTAGTCTTAATATAGTCCACCTCAAAGGAAATGCCTTTGCCTTAAATTAGGCTTCCCAGCATGCTGGTTCATGCTTCCTGTTCATTGCATTTCCTCAAATGAATGCTTTGTTTTAAGCACACTGGAACCTTAATAGCCCTTGCACACTTTCCTACGGATGCACTTGTTGTTCCCTAATTAGTGACTGTAGTTCCCTAGTTCAATCAGACACCCAGCAGCCTTCTTCACCAAACATCCACCAGACAGAACAGGGATCACATCCCAGTTACACAGCCACGACAAACCTTGCTGTCAAGGCTATCTGCATAGACTAAACCAAAACAAATGAATTAACACAACACATTTTAAAGGAGACAACTTTTACTCAGAGGACTTTTCCCCCCAAGGGAATTAACTATTTCCCACATAGGTCCGTATATATCAGTGACCAATCCTTGAATATTACAAGTATTGCCATGTAAATCCAAAGAGGCTGTTTCAGTTCTAGATCAGTGTTTGGTATCAGTAATGGACTGGATGAGGATGAATAAACTGAAACTTAACCCAGACAAGCCAACGGTGCTTCGGGTCAGTTGAAAGGCAGATCAAGGAACAGGGATGCTGGATACGGTTACACTCCCTTTGAAAACAGAGGTGTGCAGCTTGGCGGAGCTCCTGGACTCATCTCTAAGCCTGGATGCCCAGATTTTTGCAGTGGCCAGGAGTGCCTTTGCACAATTAAAACTAGTGCACTAGCTGTGCCCATTCCAGGAGAGGTCTGATCTATGTGGAGATGCCAATGAAAAGCATCTGGAATTTTCAGCTGTTCTAAAACTCAGCAGCCAGACTTGGGCTGGTCACATGGATCAAATAACCCCTCTGTGACAGCAGTTCCACTGGTTGCTGATCCATTTCTGGGCTCAGTTTAAGGTTCAAACCTTGTTTCGTTTTGTTTAGTCGTTTAGTCGTGTCCGACTCTTCGTGACCCCATGGACCAGAGCATGCCAGGCCCTCCTATCTTCCACTGCCTCCCGGAGTTGTGTCAAATTCATGTTGGTTGCTTCGCAGACACTGTCCAGCCATCTCATCCTTGGTCGTCCCCTTCTCCTCTTGCCATCACACTTTCCGGACCACATCTCCCTTTATGACCCTGCTGGAGTGTTAAGATAATCAGGAGAGGCCTTTCTATCAGTCCTGCCACCTTCACAGGTACAGGAAAAGACCTTCTATGTTGCTACTTCTAGACTTTGGAACTCCCTGCCACAGGAGGCTAGACTTTGCTGTCCTTCTGAAAGCAAGGGAAGACCTTTCTCTTTAGGCAGGCTTTCCCTGAGTGACTGGCTGCCTGAGAAGGTTTTTAAAATGGTGTTGGGCCTAATTATTTTGAGTGTATTTTGGTGTTGCTTGTGTTTTTTGCATGGTATTTGTTTTTGGTATGGTATTTGCTTTTAAATCGTTAGCTTTAATATTGTCTTTTAATGACGTAAGCCACCTTGGGTCCTTTTAAGAAAAAAAGCAGGATAAAATATTTTAAATAAAATAAATAATAAAGAAATTTTGAAAGACAGATTTTCAGAACCCCTTTTATTAGCTATAATGTAGCACAGGCCTAAGTCAGAATCAGTTTTGACAGTGGATAATAATTATTAATTGTATTTAGGCAATGTGGAGTTCTTACAAAACCACACAGCCATCAAAAGTTCCAGTGACTTTATACTTGGATTCAAACCCAATTACGAGGGCTTGCATGGGTTGACAGTATTCGTCAAACAGGACAAATCCTACTTTGCTGCAGGTCCGTAACAATCCTATTATAAAATTGTCCATTAGGAGATTATGTTGTACTATATATGGAATAGGCAAAAGATCTGCAGGTGAGTTATCCTGCAGTTGAACTTCTGCTAGGCCCCAGGAACTATAAGAATCACTCTAGTCCTTATTTTTAAATACAAATTTGAGAAGCTGTTAACTTCAAAGCTATAGAACCTCAGATCACATCCAGACATTGGAAAAAAAAGAAAAAAGAAAAAAAGAAAAAGAAAAAGAAAAAAGAAAAAGAAAGAAAGAAACAAGGAAAGAACCAACCTAAGGTCACAGAAGTATCTAGTCAAGGATTCAACTTGCAGTTTACAAATCTTGGTTTACAAACTGAAGCGTCTCCCTGTTTACAACCATCATTGAAATGCTCCAGATATTCTGCAGATTTTAGTATTATGTCTAATAGAAGATACAGCAGTAGCCCTAAATACCCTAAGCAAACCAGTATGAAAAGAACAGAGCCAAACAGCTCTTAGAATACCTTCTGCTCTATATGCTTGGTCAACACATGTGAGAGATGTAGATAGTTAAGAAATATTCTGAATTCAGTGCCTAGACTGATGTGTGCAAACTAGTTCTCAAAATGAGAGGCTATCTTACTCAACTCAGTTTGACAAATAAAGCCTTGAAGCATAAATCATTTTTACTACATTTAAATGTAGCTGGCCTCTTCCTAAATGTTCATTTTATGCCCACTCTAACATCTGCAAAAATTATTACATAATTGTGTCCAATGTATATCTTAAATACCAGTATTTATAATCCTGTGCTTCAAGCCAAACACAGTCAAGATGATTGCAGAGACTGGAGTGGCCCATATTCTCCACTGGAACATTGACATCATAATCTACTGCTGCGAAGTTTAGAATAAAACCTGTGCAGGGTTTTCCTCTTGTACTGGACCACATTCTGTAGGACGTACAGAGGTCATTCTGGCAAAAAAGGGTAACTGAACTCCAAAAATACCAGAGAAAAAGAATAAAACTCAGGAAAAATAGAAGGGGGAAATAACAGGGCTTATTGGGAGAACAAGATATAGTTGTATCTACTTAGCCTGTGATTCAGTTTGAATCCTTTGTTCCACAAAATCAATGAGTGTATCCACATCACACAGTTTATAGCAGTCTGATACCTCTTTCACCTGGTCAAGGCTGTATTGTACGGAATTCTGAAATGTGTAGTTTGGTGGGTTAATTAGAAGTCGTTGCAAGAGAGGTCTATAGGGTGGTAATCTAAATGGATGCACTAGCACTCTCTAACAGAGAATTCTAATAGCTCACCACACTACAAATTCCAAAATTCTATAGGATGGAGCCATGATAGCTAAAGTGGTACATTCATGTTATCAGGACAGTGGCAGGAGCCTGAGAGGATTCCACAGTCAGAGCACAATACGGCTTTAGGTGTAGAAGCATCTGAGTACACAGCAACATTGCATGGATTCTGTAAGTTGGCATTCCTTCTCCTGTCATAAACGTGATTCAGATATTCCTGAAGTTTAAACAGGTGTAACTTTGTCCCCTCTCTTCCATTCCCAAGAGGTCAAATGGCTCCTGTTGTCCCAGACCATAATGAAGATGGAGCATGAAGAAGGAGTACTTAGTGTCCGTTAGTGGACTATGCAATTAGGGGAATCCCGTGGTTCTTGCGTCCTGATTTTCGGCTTCCCATATATATTCAAATGGTTGTTGTGGAAACAGAAGGCTGCACTACCTAGGCATAAACGATATGTTTTCCAAAGTTTTTTGTGCATGACATGAAATATATTTTTCTTCTTAATTTTAAACCTTCTACCCATTAATCTCAGTGAGTATTGTCCTTAGATTTTTATGATCTGTTTTTTTTATGATCTGATTTCTTTATTCATATATTCCTCAATCATATTTCTGCTTAGTAGTTTCTTTCAGCAGCGAAAGAACCATAATTTTTGGGACTGCCTTCTTCTATAGAGATCTTCTGCTCTTGGGTATTGAGCGGTTATTCTCTAGAGACTCTGCTTTAAAAGTTCCTTCTTATTTGCATGTGTATTGCAGAGGACATTCATACTTATTTATGAGGATACCATTCTTTGTGCCAGGGTTCCCTATAAATGGTTTGTAAGTAGATTAACATCATTAGCTGTCTTCTAATTCTTGGCGCAGTGCTTTTCCATTATTCATAAAGTTCATTTCCCACAATAACCAAAAAAACAAGGAAAGAACCAACCTATGTATCTTGTTGCTATATGACAACAACTCCATCTGCTGGTGTATTAAGGTAACAGGCATATGTAAACATTTCATTGCATTTTTATACTCTCCTGCCTCCTATGCCAATACCAGCAGTGGCTGAGGTGCATGAATGGGTGCTGGAATATTCTCCTGACTAAACTGTTTAGAGACTATCACCCACATCAAAACAGCTCCCTTTAAAACTTGGAAGACTGGGTATTTCTTCCTGATAAATATGGGGCCATCCAAAAGTATTCTGCCTCTCCTTTACATGCTGTCAAGTCAGAATATATTCGTTTCATTTAGTCGTTTAGTCGTGTCCAACTCTTTGTGACCCCATGGACCAGAGCACGCCAGGCCCTCCTATCTTCCACTGCTTCCCGTAGTTGTGTCAATTTCATGTTGGTCGCTTCGGTGACACTGTCCAACCATCTCATCCTCTGTCGTCCCCTTCTCCTCTTGCCATCACATTTCCCAACATCAGGGTCTTTTCCAGGGAGTCTCCTCTTCTCATGAGATGGCCAAAGTACTGGAGCCTCAGCTTCAGGATCTGTCCTTCCAGTGAGCACTCAGGGGTGATTTCCTTTAGAATTGATAGGTTTGTTCTCCTTACAGTCCAGGGGACTCTCAAGAGTCTCCTCCAGCACCACAATTCAAAGGCATCAGTTCTTCGGCGGTCTGCTTTCTTTATGGTCCAGCTCTCACTTCCATACATCACAACAGGAAAAACCATAGCTTTGACTATTCAGACTATTCAGAATTTATAGCAACCCTAAAAGGGCTTTCTAGGTAAGTGAAATATTTAAGGAGTAGCTATTACCAATTTCACACTTCTAGTGAGTTTCCATGATTGAGCAGTGATTCAAACCCAAATCTCACCCCAAATTCTAGTCTGTAAGGGAATGTCCATTAAGAAGCACTTTTGGGGAGACAGGAGAAAAATTGCAAGCTCCATGTTTTATGTTTTTAATATTTAAATCTTTTGCATCACTCTCAATGCTAGCTCTCAGTGTCCCGTTCCCTGCTGTTAGAGAGGAGAAGGGCATTTCTGCACCAGCTTCTGTGGCTCTTCTGGGCCAAGAAAGCATCTATAGGTGAGCACAGGGACAGCTGCAGAAGCAGTTCTATGACAGGCAGAAGATATGTGCATATATTGTGTGTGTGTGTGTGTGTGTGTGTGTGTGTTGATGGTTGGAAACAGCTATACTCACAGCATCACAAGGACCATCCTGAATTGCACCTATACAAGTACGGTATCAGATCTTGATGCAGAGCCTTATGGGGGAAGGCTGTTTCAGAAAATTGCATGGCAGACAATGATTTTGTTGATGCTGCTGTTTAGTAGGGCTTGCACGAAGAAATTTACTGCAAAGCATGTATGTTTCTGTACCTCATTAAGTACATATATTGCACATATACTCATGTTTAAGGTTGGGGTTCTAGGAAGACACAGACAGGTCAGTCTGATTAGTTCTTAACTAAGTTGTTTCAACTGTTTCAGCATAACTGATTTTGCATAAGCAAAAGTCCTGCTGTAAAGCGGTGATCCATAGATCAAGCAGAATGTGAAGTATAATTTGCCAGCAGGATATGGTCTATATACTTCAGTGTCTATGTCAGTTTTCAGTTTGTCTTGTAGCCATTGATAAACTTATTTGTCAGGTGGAATTTTCAACCAGCCCCCCTCAAAAAAAAAAAAATTAAAAAAATGGGGAAAGAAGTAATCCTGATTTCCAAAATAAGAGAGAAATATCCACCAGATGGTGCTATAATGTTAAAGGAAAGATAAAAAGCCCAATTACAGAGGCAAGAGGTGGTTTCAGAAGTGAAACTATGAGAATACTTTTTAGATAATCTCTGGCAGTACAAATGGGCATAGCCTCTGAAAAAAAAACTTGTCTTCTGCCTATACAAAACATTAGTCTCTGGATGGTGGGACCTCTGACTCTTTCTTCAGTTATTTTTTTTTAACTTAGAGTGAAAAGGAATGAACCCACACCCTGATAAATATCCTCTAATTTGCTCCTTTTGCTGTTATGATCTGAGGTAAAACTATTAAAACAGCTAGGAACTAGGGATGGGGAGGTATTCGTATTTGAATACTGCCGCACAGCTAGATGTAACGAGGGTCCAGCTCCCTGGGGCCGCACCGTCTACTCACACATCTGCTGCTGCTGCCGGCTCTGCTCTCCCTTCCACTTGCTCCAGAGCTCGCGGTTGATTGTCCACTCCTGGCAGAAGGAGTGAAGATGAGTCTCTCTGCCAGGCTGATTGAATGAATAGGTGACCATGAGTGATTGGAAGGAGAGAGGAGCTGGTTGCAGCAGCGGACGTGTGAGTGGATGGTCTGGCCCCTGGGGCTGGACCCTCATTACGTCCAGCAGTGGGGGGTATTTGCATTCGTATACAAATACTCCCATCTCTACTAGGAACTCATTACTGCAAATGTCTTTCTCCTTTCCAAAGTGGCTGCAAGTCTCAACTGTTGGACCAACTTTTGAAAGGTGATTTGATGAAATGACTGATTTATTATTCCTTAACTTCTGCATTTTATTTTTCTTCTTTACTTAGTTATAATTTTATGATGTTTATCCCAATTCACATAAACATGGCAGAATTGGGCCCACAGAAAAGAGAGAGAGAGAGAGAGAGAGAGAGAGAGAATATGTATATATAATAGATACAATTAAAGGAAAAGCACATGGCCACATAAACTTGAATGCACAGAGCTCTGTAACATCAACCCTAGCAGTGGGGAAGGAAGTGAAACAAACCACCTTGAAGAAACAAAGCACTTTGAAGCAAAACAGAGATAAGTTGTTGAATCAGCTGAACTAACTTGTAGCAACTTGAATACACATATCACTAAATCTGCTTAAACTTATCTTTAGGGCTACTGTACTTCCAAAAGTAATGTCTCAGCTTTTCTGCTGAACTCTAATTGGCATATTTTAAATATGTGAAGTCTGACATTGTGCTTCAAGAAATCCTGCATATCATATTCTATTTTACTACTCACTTTCTTCCAAATGCTAATAATATTTAATATTTTGCATGAATACATAACATGAGCCAGCATTCCTCACCTGGGGCTGCTGAGTGGCAGTCGGTTTCTGAGGAGAGGGTACGGGTGTTTTAGACAACATTTGGTTCATTTTGCTTACAACAAGCTCAGTTATCAGCTGTTTGTCCTCCACTTGATGTTCGCCAATCAAAGGCATGGCAGAATCCATAACCTAGAAGACAGGAAAGCACAAACACAAGTATATCCACACTGTGAATAATTTCAACAGACTACCTTTACCTTTAACTGTTTTTACCTGCAGATATGAGAACAGGAATTTTAAGAATTCAACACATGCTGAGGTAGTTAATGTTTTTAAGCAGTCTTTTTAAAAAATATATTATGCCTATCCTTGACACACTGATATAAGTGTGTGTATGTGTGTGTGTGTGTGTGTAAAACACAAGAACATGTCTACTTACTAGTGATATATGCAAGGTCTATCTGGGCATTATTTCATGCTGTCTCTTCACCATACATAGAAGGGAGTGGCTATCCGCACCCCGCCCATTGTTGCTTTTTTCAACAAGGATAAGAGGAGAGGTTCCCGTTCTACACTTGAACAAGAATCACACAGGAATATATTCTTTTGAGATCATTACTCTTTGTGTGAAGAAAGCAAGAGTGGAGAGGGTGGGCCTTGCCACTCTCTTCTAAGTGTGCTGAAGCAATTACATTCTATAATGCCTTAACAGAACTATAGCCTTTTCTGAAGAAGTAGCAGTGTTAGTTTGCCTTGGCATTTGGCAAAATAAATGAAAAAAAAAAGGCAAAATAAAGTTGTACTTTAACAGTTTATTTTAGTGTGAACCTTTTGTGGATCAAAATCCACTTCTTGGAACACAGGAGTCTGCTATTTTATTAAATGCTCTCAATTGTTGTTGTTTAGTCATTAAGTCATACCCGACTCTTCATGACCACATGGACCAGAGTATGCCAGGTCCTCCTGTCTTCCACTGGTCAAATTCATGTTGGTCGCTTCGATGACACTGTCTAACCATCTCGGCCTCTGTTGTCCCCTTCTCCTCTTGCCTTCACACATGCCCAACATCAGGGTCTTTTTCAGGGAGTCTTCTCATGAGATGGCCAAAGTATTGGAGCCTGAGCTTCAGGATCTGTCCTTCCAATGAGCACTCTGGGTTGATTTCCTTCAGAATGGATAGGTTTGTTCTCCTTGCAGTCCAGGGGACTCTCAATAGTCTCCTCCAGCACCACAATTCAAAAGCATCAATTCTTTGGTGGTCGGACTTCTTGATGGTCCAGCTCTCACTTCCATACATTGCTACTGGAAAAACCATAGCTTTGATTATGCGGACCTTTGTTGGTAAGGTGATGTCTCTGCGTTTTAAGATGCTGTCAAGGTTTGTCATTGCTTTCCTCCCCAGAAGGAGGCATCTTTTAATTTCATGGCTGGTGACCATCTTGGAACTCAAGAAAGTAAAATCTGTCACTGCCTCCATATCTTCTCCTTCTATTTGCCAGGAGGTGATGGAACCAGTGGCCATGATCTTAGAATTATGATCTTAAAACTAAGATCAATGCTGTCAATAGGCTACCAAATAACTCTACATTATTGTCAATTTGGTGGCGCTGTGGGCTAAACTGCAGAAGCCTGTGCTGCAAGGTCAGAAGACCAAGCAGTCGTAAGATCGAATCCACGCGACGGAGGGAGCTCCCGTCGCTTGTCCCAGCTCCCACCAACCTAGCGGTTCGAAAGCATGCAAATGCAAGTAGATAAATAGGGACCACCTTGGTGGGAAGGTAACAGCGTTCCGTGTCTAAGTTGCACTGGCCATGTGACCACGGAAGATTGTCTTCGGACAAAACGCTGGCTCTACGGCTTGGAAACGGGGTCGAGCACCGCCCCCTAGAGTCGAACACGACTGGACAAAAAATTGTCAAGGGGAACCTTTACCTTTATCTTTACTGTCATTTAATCAAAGACAAAGAAAGAACAATTTCTGTTTTTGTTTTACTTTTTTTTGTTATGATTGCTATCACCTGGATTCTTTAACTATGGTAATTCTGAGGATGGTTTATGGCAAGTAAGTGATTGATATACTTTTGTGAAAGCTAAAAACACTGTTCACAGACTTATAAAAGCAAAGGTTTAGCTCAAACCATAATAGCTCTAAAATATTCATTTTAAGTGGTAGAACATCTTGTAGAAGGAATGAGCCAACATTCACTTAGAAAGGTGGTGTTAGGATACATGCAAATGTATTTTTCCCATCATCTGAGTGCATAAACAGAATATGAGACAACTGGGACTGACTTTTTTAAACAATATGTACATTTTTTAAAAAAAACAGACTACACATACATGCTTATTTAATAATCAACTTTCACTGGTTGATAGCTGCATTAATTTGATTATTAGGTACAGTATGTTTGTTTGTTTATTTAATGCATTCATATAGCACTGACTTAGTGCAAAGCACTACTGTAAGTGGTTTACAGCAACACAATGCAATAGGGACCCAACCAAGCCCTATGCGGAAAGATCGAAAGAACTGGGTATGTTCACCTTTGAGAATAGAAGACCGAGGGGAGATATGATACAACTTTTCAAATACTTGAGAGATAGTCATACAGAGAAGAGGCAGGATCTGTTCTTGATCATCCCAGAGTGCAGGATACACAATAATGGGCTCAAGCTACAGGAAGACCAATTTAGACTTAATATCAGGAAAAATCTTCTTAAGTGTTAGAGAAGTACAACAATGGGCCAAATAACTCAAGAGATGGTGAGCTCTTCAAGGCTGGAGGAATTCAAGAGAAAATTGGACAACCATCTGTTAGATCTTCTTTGATGTGGATTCCTGCATTGGAGGGGACTGAAGTCGATGGGCTTATAGACCCCTTCCAGCTCAGCTATTCTATGATTCTGTGAACCACCCAACATTAAACATTTTAAATAAAACAATGATACCAACCCAAAATGATGGCAATATTGTAAACACATATAGTAGAGCTTAAAAGAGGATGCTTTTGAATGCCTCTTGAAACAGGACAGTTTTAACACCCTCTTTAAGGATGGGAGGGAGGGGGCCTGAAGCCCATTGCCCAGTACTTCTGCTGGGAGCCCACTGCATAAGTATGTGGCCATACCCAAGAAGACATAATTTCTGGTGATCATGTGTGAGAATCTAAAATAGGGCCTGAGAAGGACAGGTGGTATGGGCTGATGTTTCAAGGGAGAGATGCTCCAACATATATTTAGTTTGTACATGTCATATATTTTTCCATTTCAAACTGGTTTTAGTAATTGGACATCAGAAGCATTTTCTCCCCTTCTCCATTTGATTCACAAAATCTTTTGTTAGAAGAAGGGAATGAACATGGAAAACTTACTGCAGTGGACTTAGGGTTCTGACCCTGTGACCTCCGGGCAACAAAGCATAACCTGGACCAGAAAACCCATTCTTTGATGTCACTGACAGTGGCAGATTGTTGCTGACAAAAGGCTTCCTCTTCTGATTAGGGGATTTCATACTAAGTTGCATGCATGGTGAAACAGCAACATGAAGCCTTTGACAGGTGGTAGGCTGCTGCTGACATCATTCCTGTTGTGCAGAAGGAACCATGCCTAACAGGATTTTAGCCAAAGTGTTCCACAAACAGACCTATTCACAGCTGCAACAGTGGCTGCAGACAATTGCCATGTATATATAATGGGGTCGCTGGGTCAGAAGTATGATTAGGTTGAAAATTGTGCAGTTTCCTAATATGCTTTCGATTATATTAGAAGCAGATATCTAGTACTGTATATTAAAACTATATAAGTCAGAGAGCTAGCTACTCTAGACTTTCAGCAGACCTGCAACATTCAGTAACAGAGGTGCATGCTTTTCACGGCCTAGAATCTCCATATCCACTTATGATGGTATTAAGATAATACTTTCTGTAATCAAATGTATCCCTTTCCTATTAAGAGACCAAAACACCATTTGCTATTGATGACAACAATTGGTTTCATGCTGGACAAATAGTTTAGAGTTTTCTTTAGCTGTTCTGATCAAATATTTCTGCTATTTTGAGTTATCCATGACAACAAAAGTTATAATGCCAGACAATAGGGCCAGGATTATATAACCAGGTTGCTTGGCTCTCAATGAATTCTAAAATTATCATCTGAAGAGACAGCAAGGTCTTATTTTCTGTACCTCAATTTGATATCATTTCCAGCTTTACAGTTCCATAAAACGTTTCCCCAAAGAAGTAATTTTCATGTCAAAAAGTTGTGGTTATTTGTTGTTGGCATTAAGTGCTTTCTCAATATGCATCTGAAACGGTGACTCTTGAATCTGTCTGTTTTTAATTTTCAATTTTTGGGACCGATCACATCTACCATTGAGATTATTAAATTTTTACCATTTGACGAAGTATTATCTCAGAACTGCTCTCAAAACTGATTTGGGTTATAATTGTTCTTTCAGAGAGAATGCCAGAGCTCTAAGAGCTTAAAGGGAACCTATACTCCGGAGAGTTTAGACCACTGTCATGTGACAAATTGTCAAAATAGCCCAGTGCATGTTATAATTATGGGCACATTTATGATATATTTCCAGTGTTTGTAAACTACTTTTCTATGAAAGTATGTTAGTGCACAGTAATACCATTTTTTACAATAAGTACATAAATGAAGAAAAAATGATATAATCATGAAAAAGACCAAATGTGCAAACAAAATTACAGGTCAGACAGAAAGGTATATGCAGCACGATAAAAGTTAAGAAGAGCATAGTGGGGAAAGGAAGCAAAGAGGTGAAAAGCAACTGAGGTTGGCTTGCAACTGAAATGGGTTGGGCCACTACCCCCTCCCCCAAAACTAGATTTATTTCCCTTTTGCTAGTGCCTCCTGGTTTGTTTGTTAAAAAACTGAGGCGAGTTGTGTTTTTCGAAATTAAAGAACAGATGTGAATCCTAAAAACCGCTGTTCCGCAGCATGCATAGTTACATGAAAAATATATTTTATGCCTAGCAAAACGTGATACTACATATTTCTCTCTCTCTCTCTCTCTCTCTCTCTTGATGTAAAGATGTACTTTTCTTGGGTTTCTCTTGGAGAACAACCATACATCTTGCCCCAAAGCAATAATGGTGAGATTAGTTAGAAAGGATTAGTTAGAAAGGAAAATTTGGTGCAGGCATTTTGATCTCTAGCCTAAAAATATATGAAAGCAAAATGATAACACCTTGTGAGCCCTCTTTTGATTTCCTATAGGCAGTGCTATTTACTGGAAAACATTTCTTTGCTTGATTATTTGAATGTGTCCCTGAATAAACTGCAATGCACACTCTCAATGGACTATCCAAAACGACCAAGATGGAAAATCTAAGTATTGAATATCATCATCCTATGTGTAATCAAATTGATTGGTTTTTGTAATAGTGTATTTTTGAATAATAAATTTTATTTATTAAAAAAAGGGATGGAGGAGAAGAAAAATTAGGGACATAATTTTTTTCCTATTATCCTTATACCAGCAAAAGTGCTTGTAGAGAAAAACTATTTATCATACCTCAAAAATATAATCCTTCCCATCCTTGCCATGTACTGCTTTGACTGCACATATGTCCAAACCTCCAAACATCTCAGAACAGCTGTCAATCCAAAACTTGTACCTGGAAGACAAAGAGAAGTTCCCATCAATTAAAAAAATGGCAGTCACAACAGAGACAAAACTATATGGTCCAATTTGGAATGTATCCATATTACTCCCTACATCCATAGCCACACATCAGAATAGCTGGCTTTTTATTTCATGTACAACTTCATTTCTCAGGGTTATTTCTTTGCTGTTGGATGCTTGTCAGACTCTACATCTGTGGAAATGCTGACAGCAGTGATTGAACTTATTTGTTTATAAACTGTCCTTGCTATAAAATGTTCGAGTCACTTGAATGTAAGAAAAGTGCTCTTTCTTTTAATGACAAATCTGGAGAAAAACCAAACCAAACAGAGAAGGCTGATTCTGAAAGGTCCTTCCAATTAAAATCAAAGGAATAGGGAGATTTATTTATTTATTTTATTAAAGGCACTTTCTTAAACATATGAAACAGATGGAAAGAGATATTGTGGAATTCCTCCCCAAATGATGTTAGGCCGGTTCCATCTCTGTTGAGCTTCCGATGAGCAACTAAAACTTCACCGTTTCTTTCATCTTTAGGATAGTTTTTTTTTCTTTAAACTGGCTTTTGGCAAACATTTTAAATCTGTTCCTCATGTTTTAAATTTGTTTTTGAATGTTTTGAGTATATTATTTACATTTTAAAAAAATCTATTCTTCACTATTTTAAGCTATTGTAAATGGCCCAAGTAGCTCTGGTGGGTACAACAATGATGAGCAAGAAGGTTTAAATAAAATTTAAAAATACTGGGGAAGGAAAGCTTATCTTGAAGCCAAGGACTGCTAAAGCAGGTTTGACTAACTTAGTCAATAAACAGTATGTATGTATTGAAGGGAGGTAGTGGCTGAGTGGTCCAGAGAATGCTAGCCTGAAGTACTGTACACGTTTCCCAAGCTTTGGAGACATGCAGGTCTGATGCAACCCAATACAAATCCAAAGCATGGATTTTTGAAGGGCTCATTCTCATGCTCCACTGCTTTGACAAAAGGTACTTGATTATCTTTCCCCCTCATACTCTAGGGCAGTGGTTCTTAACCTTTTTGAAAGAAACGCCCCCTTGAGCCATTGAGGAAGTTATCATCGCCCCCCTCCCCGCGCTGATATCTTATTTATTTATTTATTTATTTATTTATTTATTTATTTATTTATTTATTTATTTATTTATTTATTTATTTATTTATTTATTTATTTATTTATTTATTTAGGGTGGGGGCTGGAATTCACACAGTTCACAGCACAAACACTTTAGAATAGGGGAGTCATTAAAATGGATGCAGACTGGATAACTTTCAATCACTGCCCAACCACTAAAGTGGCAAGGCTTTCATATTCTCCCACGCACCTCCTCCACAGCCCTCTTTTGCTCTCCAAAACCTGCTCCAGCACGATTTATACCTCTCTGGGATGAGTCTTGCGCCCCCACGCCGCCCCTTTTCATTTTACCGCCCCCCTGAAAAATGAAATCACCCCCTGGGGGGCATTATCGCCCACGTTAAGAACCACTGCTCTAGGGTAGCCTTCCTCAATGTGGTGTTCTCCAAAGACATTGAATTCTAAGTCCTGTAACCCCAAGCTATGTAAGGATTATGGGAGTTGTAGTCCATGTTATCTGGAAGGTGCCAGGCTGAGGAAAGTTGCTTTATTCCTGCATCATGTTTCTAGTTATAATTATAAAATAAATAACTATGAGCCATCTCATGGGTTCCCTTTATAATTTTAAGGATAAAAAACAGCTGGGAGGAGTGATGTGGAGTAGACAAACTGCTGGAGGAGAAATTAGTTGCTAGGCCCTTCCCTTTGTTCAACTATGTAGTCAAAAACAAATGTTGGGAGAACAATACAAGCATCTCCTTTGTAACATTTACTCTCTGAAAATTTTCCAAAGGAATTTATTAACTTTTCACACAGGAAAGCAGCATCTCATTACCGATCTCTTTTTACTCTTCACAATATGACCGATCCTTGATTTATCCCTGCAATGTCAACAAGTGCGGTTGCCTGGTTTAACTCACAGATGACATTTTAAAGGGTTGCTTTAACAGAGGCCCTGGTCACATGAGAGAAATGTTCTGTAGTTCTTCCAATACTTTCTATACTTCTGTTGTGCTGATTCTCAGTCACATGGTATATATATACACCAGGATGAACTTCCCAAGAACTTTTACCTGTTTATTTTCTCTCTTCCTTCAAGGGTCAGTTGAGCCCCTTGGAAAAAAAAAATCAAGGAGCTCAATTGCCCCTTGAAGGAAGAGAAAAAATAAACTGGTAAAAGTTCTTGTTTTTTAATATATTTTTAATACATCGATATACTGTATCAGGAAGGGATTTCTGTTTAGAAATATGTCCTCTGTTGTGCTGCCTGCTCCTGAAGAATTGCACTGGTCCATCTACTTCCCTCACCATCTCCTCTGCCTTTCAGCTTAATCCGCCATTTTGGTCCCCCCATCTGTAACGCCCGCCCATGAATGTCTCCTCACAGTGACTTTTGAAAAGTGGTGTGTTGAAATGCAATGGCTCAAATTGCTCTGTGCCATATTTTTACCAATGTATCAATGTATCGGCCACAAAGTTAAAAAAAAACAAACACAAAAATGCATTCTGCAACAATGGTGGCAACCTTCCTGCCTTTGCTTCTGAAAAGAAGTGGGACAGGTCCTCCACACGGACAATTCTGGTAAGGAATGCACTGATGCAACAGAGGTACCACATAACACAATTCTCCCAGGGAATGGAAAACAAGCTGCAGTTACATTGCTGGCCGGGAAAATATTTCGATCTTGACTGTGCATCCTGAGACTGGGGGGGGGGGGGGCAACAATCTAACTGGGAGATAACTAGAGAACATTTCCCTCATGTGACCAGGGCCAGAGTCATGCCTGAAAACTCCAGTTTGGCCTCAAAGCACAACCTATTGCTGTAATTTGCCAACACAAACAAACTGTTCCAGTGTTTTATCTGGATGTGTACACAAAAGCTTATATTAAGGTGCCACGAGTTTTTGTCTTTGTTTTGTTTTGTTCCTTTGGATTTTGCCTCATATACTTGCACAGACTAACATGACTACGTCTTCCAAAATTTTCATCCTTAAGTATTTTGCATTGCAACAGTCATCACATGATAATAGTTTAAAATTCTAGGTCAAATAATACAAGAACCTATTTGAGAACAGGTTCATATACTATGTATTTGTCATCCTATAGCTGATAGTTCTGGAAGTGATGCACAATAAAAACAAAAAAAAATCACATAAAAACAGAAACAGAATAAGACAACTAATTAGGACCAGCAGAAAGAGACATTACATGAACTAATGAGTATCAAAAATAGAACTACTTAAATACATGTAACAACTGAAATAGAGGATTAAAAATGAGAGAATAAAGAGGTCTTTGTCTGATGCTGGAAGCATAACAAAATAGGCATTAGACAGACCTCTTTGTGGATGGTATTCTCTAATTTGGGTGTGGGTGGCCAGGGCTATGACTTAATCAGGCTGCACCGAAGTCATTACCTGCTGTAGCTCAGCATGGGAAGAAACTTGAAACAGGGATCAGATTAAAATATGAAGGTTTAGACAGAGAAATATGTGAAAAGTAATGATCCTTTAGATACTGTAGGTGAAATTATGAAAAAAATTGTGTGTTGATTATTGACCTAAGAGATAAACTGGGAGACAATAAAAATGACATATATTGGTGCATTAAGATCATAACACTCAGTATTAACTGAAGTTTTTTTTTTACTGTTTTCAAGGGCAGCCTCACACATAACATATTGCAGTAATTTTTCCTGCCCACATGATATAGAGGCAGAATTGAATTGTTCCTGCCTTTTTTTCTCGAAAATTTGAAAGGTGTTTCCCCCCTATGTGGATGGGAAAGGGAAGGGCTTGTCTGTAGAGAACCAGGGGGGAGAAAATGGAAATAGAAGCACCAGCTGGGAGAAAAGCGAGTGAGTGTGAGGGGAGTGGGCAATGAAAGGCAGCTGGGAGTGGTGTATGTGTGAGGGGCAAAAGGGGGAGTGAGAGCAGATACAATCATCGAACTGGACTGTGAGACTTGGGGGCTTCGAATCTTGGCTTAAGCTCTTGGGCAGCTGGAACAGAATGGCACAACAGGGACAATTTTGGGATGAAACAAAATCTACCCTTCAAACAGTACTAGAAATAGTGAGATCCCACTACCAAGAGGCAAAATTATTCAATGAACATCTGAAGAATTATAGTCAACAAGAGACAGGGAATAACGAAGAGGAGCTGAAGACTGTGCTGGATGATGTATGCCAATCAAAAGAGGAGCTGAGGAAATTAATGGGGAAAACCTAAGAGAAACAACTTCAATCTTGGATCCAAGGAGAGTATTAAGGGAAGACAAGGGGAGAAAATCAGCAAAATTAATTTTAAAAAGCCTGGAAGATCTATTGAAGATAGACCAAGTGCATAAAGATCTAGTGGAGATAAATCAGATGCACAAAATACTTACAGAGGGCATGAAAGATGGCAGAATACTTAGAGAGACAGAAACAAAAAAGTGAAAAAAGAGAAACAAGAGATGGAATTACTTAGAAAGATGAAAAGGGGAAAAATAGGAAGGGGTACCTTAATGTTGAAAAACATGTATATATTTAACTTTGGGAATTGTAAAGGAGCATATCCTTTATATTAAAAAGGAGAATTAAATTGAAATAAGGGAGCTCTGACCAGGGTAAAGATGTAATATGGTGGATTTTCATTTTAGGTAAATTAAACTAGATATAAGGTTGGGGCATGGATCTATATTATGATAGTAGCCATTGTCGTCGTTTAGTCATTTAGTCGTGTCCAACTCCTCATGAACCCATGGACCAGAGCACGCCAGGCCCTCCTATCTTCCACTGCCTCCCAGAGTTGTGTCAAATTCATGTTGGTTGCTTCAATGACACTGTCCAACCATCTCATAGTAGCCATATTATACACTAAAATATGTACATGAATGGCTTGAATGTGTGAAAGATGTCTGGAATTTGGGGGGACAACTGGGAAGACACTGAGATGTAAAAAAAAACAAATAATTGTAAGCAAGTCATGTAATATGATGTTTGACAAGCACATATTAAATGTAGATAGAGTGAAAAACTAATAAAATGTTAAAAAGGGGGGGAGTGAGAGCATGTGGCATACACAGACGTATACACACACACACACACAAGCTAGCACTTACCTCTCTCTGCAAAGTCTCTGCTTCCCTAAGCCACCACTTCCTTTGTTTAAAAGAGCTTCCCACTCCCACAGTCCTGTGTTTTCATGCATGCATGCATTCATTTTTTTTTAACAACTTCAGAACTCCCAGCAAGATAAGATTAGGAAGTGACTGAGGGACAGGCTATATGTGCTTCAGGTGCTTCAAATGGAACTGCAAGTATAAGTCTTTTTTTCTCTGTGTGGCCACTTATCTCAGAGAGAACTCAATGCCCCGATGTGACTTTTGCAGCAAGAGAAGGACAGTTAGTTTGCATTTCCTGCACTGTGTAGTTACTTCCAGCAACTGAAGAGGGCTAATCAGAATGCAGAAGGTCCTACTGAAGTGGTGGGAAAGTGAATGAACGGATCCCATACATGCTGAGAAATATTAACTCTGTTGAAAGGATGATAGTAACAATAGATACTGCATTCAGTGTTCTGGCCTCCCTCAGGCAGGTATCAGGTAGAGAAGAGTAAACATTTTAATATAATAAATTGTCAGACTATTTGGAAAGCATCTGCTCATCCACCCTTTGGACAGATGCTATTTCACATCAAACACAGCAACACTAATGTTTTCAGCCCTACCACATATGGGACACAATGCATTTTCTGGCCCATTCTGGAAATGGTTTGTATCTACCTATCTGACATGGCAATTTGTTCCAACATTGCGGATCCAGTGTTTGTTTTCCAGTTTCCAGATATAGAAGTTCTCCTGTAAATAAACAGAAGTAGTTAAGAACATCATGGCAATTTCATTGTATTATTTACTATTCCCTTGCTGTGTTTATTTCCTAATAATAAGCATGCACAGCAACCTGAAGAAAGCAAAATATCAAGCAAAGAACATTTATTCAACTATTTATTTAAAAAAAACCCCAAACAGTAGCATTTAATTGGATGTGCACAGAAAAGAGCACAACAGAACAGCAAAGAGGCTACTCATAAAAGTAAATCTGCTGAGTACTGAATCAGGTGATAGTTGTCCATCCTCAGTTGGGTAAGGAGTTCTAACTTTAAGAAACAGAAGAAAAGAAAAGAAATGGAGCTAAGAAGAGCTGTGGGGTTATTTCTGCTCTACTTGAAAACCTAGTAACCTGGACTTGACCTGACATTTGCATTTTGTAACAATAATCATATGACTTTACAAAGAGTTATGCCATTCACCATTACATTTTGGACCCAAATGATAAAACATATTTCAGTTTATACCCGTGTGTTTTTGCATATTAACATATAAATCTATGTATTCAGTAAGTTGTGGTTGGAAAAAGACAAGATGATTCTAGAGAATTTGACAGCTTCCATGTGTGCGATTTTGTTCCTACTGTGCTTGTTTCTTTTTTGCCCTATGTCATTTCCTTAAAACAATGATGTACTGATATTTATACATATGGCATAAATTTCTAAGCATTTGCAGAAGATGTGGAGCTGGGAATGGTTCCATACTTTATCCTAGTTATCTGATGATTAGCATAGAGTAAGCTATCTATAATGTGAGTTCTGTGCCCATGGCCACAAACGATACAACTATTATGAGATTTTGATCACAGCATTAAAGCTACAGAAACAGATGATATTTCCTTTGGCACCTCTTCAAGTCATTCTTCTGTGCTTGTGTATGGACATGGATTTAAAAAAACCCCAAACAAAACAACTCCTCTCACTCCCCCCCAAAAAAACTCAAGGAAAAAGGAAAGGAAAAAGAAAAAAAATCCACAGCTGTGGAACATAAGCTAAGGACTATATCTTTCTGAACACACATGAAGCATAATAGAAGTTTCATGTAGATTTTGAGTCTTTAGCTGCAGATCAAATTTTCACTCTGTAGTGCGATTTAACCATGAAAGTCAAAGGAAATTGCCTTAAACATTGTAATATGCTGCCTTCTTTCCCTTGACAAAGTATAACTGATTTATAACTGATAAAAATGTGAAGAGCAAGAGGTCTACTCATAGTTCAGCTTCAAATTGAACAGAAATGTACTCCATATAAATATAAAAAAGAGAAATTGTATACACAGTTGTTTCTCAAAAGCTCTTCAACATCTGCCCTACTTTGTGTGGGATTATAGAGAGTATACTGGGATCACAGGGACAGTACAGGGATCACACTGGGATGGCAAGAAAATCCCCATGGGGTTACAGAGACTGTTGTATTACAGGATTTGAGCTGCTGTTACAGTGATCATATTGAATTTTTTTACTACTTTCACTTGCAAGCACTTTGCATAGGGACACTGATCTAAGAACTGTGTTATATGTTGCATGAAAATACACACGCAAAGAAAAAAAGAAGTTCCAACAAAAACCCATACAAGCAATGTCTGGACTCAGACATAAGAACACAAATAAACTAGAAATACAAAGAAAAAATGTAATCCAATATCCCTCATATACCTGTTTCCATATAATGAAACAGACATTACAATCATGAATATATACAGTACTGAAAAATACGTAATTTTGTACTTGTAAAGAGACCTAACTTATGTAAATAAAAACAATAAAACTAGAAGTATACTGTGAATACTCTGAATATATGCAGCCACACTGGATATAGTGTAAGGTAAAGGTAAAGGTTCCCCTTGACAATTTTTGTCCAGTTGTGTTCGACTCTAGGGGGTGGTGCTCATCCCCGTTTCCAAGCCATAGAGCCAGCGTTTTGTACGAAGACTATCTTCTGTGGTCACATGGCTAGTGCAACATAGACATGGAACGCTGTTACCTTCCCACCGAGGTGGTCCCTATTTATCTACTTGCATTTGCATGCTTTCGAACCGCTAGGTTGGCGGGAGCTGGGGCAAGCAACAGGAGCTCACTCCGTTGTGTGGATTAGATCTTATGACTGCTGGTCTTCTGACCCTGCAGCACACAGGCTTCTGCGGTTTAGCCCACAGCGCCACCACGTATAGTGTACCTCCTGGCTGTGCTATGCTGTGCTATACATTTTGCATATTTCTTGGTATTTTCGATTATATTTTTGCTGTGACTACATGTATTTTATTTCACAGAAATATATGTGGGGCTCTTAGATTACATTTTGATTTTGTATTTATTTGTTTGTGCTACTATATCCTGATTCATGCACTGTTTGGACTATAGAGTTCCAGGTGGATGCATTCTCATTTTATCAAAATAGTTAATGTATATCCCTTTATTCCTATGTAGACTAATTAATATCTCTCCCCTGGAATCACATTTGCTTCTCTTTTTGTGTGGAAGGACATCAAAGAAACAATCTAAAATATGTGAGATCAAACAGTGAAGACATTTAAACCGATCACTGAAAACCAGAGCAAAAATATATGCAATACAATCTGAATGCTGTCAAAGGATGTGTGTCAAAGCTGTACTAAAACAGAAGGATCAAGCCAGCAAATTGCAACAGGGATGAAAGATGTGACAGAATGCACTTATGGAGTTCAGAACCTGCTAAAATGAAAATTAGTAATAATAGAAGAATAGGTGCCTTCAGCTAACACAATTAATGCAATAAAATTAGTCAGAATGAAATGGCTGCCTGTCCAAAAAGGACAGTGAAAATAGAGCATGTTATTTTTGCTATATAAGAGGAAGACAGTGTATAACATGAGCCAAAAAATGACATAGTCAATAATGGAGCACATAATTTTTGGCAAAGGAAGCACACTAGGTAGCTGCTAAGTTAACTTGTGGATTCCACTCATCAAAAGTTGGAACAATTAGCAAGCACACCTTCCCTTTGGGAACAAATCATATCCATGCTTGCTATTTTAAGAATACAGTGGTGCCTCGTGCAACGGTCGCTCCGTAGAGCGACGAATCCACGCAACGATGCCATTTTGCGATCGCAAAACGGCACCTAGATAGGGGGAAATTCACAGAGCGAAGGTCGGTAAGCGGTTCGCTTACCGACCTTCGCTTTGTGACCCGCCAATCAGCTGTTCCGTGCCAAGGGCACGAAAATGCTGCGCCCGGCCATTTCGGCTGTTCTGGTGGCCATTTTGGACCCGCTGGACAGCTGACTGCAGCGTTTTCACGCCCTCGTTCAGCGAGGGGAGGGCGCGAAAATGGCTGCCGGCCATCCCGGAACATCGCACAACGGTGAGTATTCGGCCGAATTGGAATGCATTAAACCATGTTTAATGCGTTCCAATGGCTTTTTACTTTCCGTTGAGCAATGTTTCACACAGCGAGGGTTAATCCGGAACGGATTAACCTCGCTGTGCGAGGCACCACTGTGTAAGAAAACTAAGGTTTGTTAGAGAAATACATTGAGATGACAAAATTTCTGGCTGTACCTAACTAAGGGATGCAGGAGGATGCAGGGAACCATGGTTGCCTCCTCACCTTTCAAGAACAAAGACAAGATGTCTTCTCTGTTCTCTCACAAAAAGGGTTAAGGAGGAAATGTGAGACAGAAAGAAAGAAGTGACATGAGCAACCCAAGGAATACTAAGCTAATTTAAATGGAAGTCAGCATAGGTCAGAGTGACAGTCCAGGACAGTTGAGAAGCTCCTTCTTTCTCCATCTGCTCTTCCCTATGCATTTTCTTCAGAGTTAGCTACCTTGCACCCACTCATCTTCAACAGAAATGAAAGGCTCCACATGGAAAGACAGGGATGGCATGCATGCTGAGGACAATTTAAGATAACTTAGTTATCGGGAAACAGCTGTCTTAAATAACAAGGCATGTGTTAGTGTCTGAGGAAATAGATTTCGATCCACAAAAGCAAATATAGAGCCACATCAATTAGTCTTTATAATGTCACAGTATCTTGTCTTTCCCCCTTCCCCCCTTTTTTTGCCCACATGCTAAACAGCCTACCACAGTTACCTCTTTGGAAACTGGGGGGGATATGGAAGTCATAGCAACCCCCCCCAAAAAAAAGGAAATCAGCCAAACTCTAACACTGTATTATGCTTCTTATTGTATTTCCTGTTGTGGTAAGAGAGTTGTGCTCAATGTTCCTTGGGCTCTACAGTTCTGTAAGTTATGGCTGTCCAAAAACATTAATTTCATTTTATCTTTCATGGGCATTTGGGGGTTTAGGTAAGTACTCCCCTGAGGAAAGGGATAATGCGGGTGGTGGAACAGAACAGGGTAGAGCAAGCTACTAGATGTTTCTGGTTGTTGAGGTTAAGCTTATGGTTGCATGCATATTAAATTTCTAAACAATAATAAGGACATGATAATGCCCCTTTTGAAGAACTAACCCAACATTGAGAGTACAATTCAGCTCTTTGAACTGTTTATTTGGATATAGGCTGGCCCCATCATTGCTATCCTTCTGCAGGCAAAGACCTTTCTGTTCAAATAAGCTTTCCCTTAATAACTGGTGGTCTGAGCGATTTGTGCTCTGTTGTTTTAAATGTGTTTTAGTATTGACTTTAATGTTTACTTGTTTAATTCTTTGTAAATATTTGTATACCTACTGTTTTTAGTTTTCGCATATTGTCTTTTAAATGATTTAAGCTGCCTTGGGTTCTTTTAAAGGAGAAAGGCAGCATAAAAATATTTTAAATGAATAAATTAATACATCTCAATAAATCAAATGGGCCTTACACCACTGTGTACTCATAAGGGATTTGGTTTAGATTATACCTGACTAGCCCAGGGGTTTTTCCTAGTTTCTTCAGTTTAAGCTTGAATTGTGCTATAAGAAGTTGATGATCAGAACCACAATAAGCTCCAGGTCTTGTTTTTGCTGACTGTATAGAGCTTCTCCATCTTTGGCTGCAGAGAACATAATCAATCTGATTTTGGTATTGCCCATCTGGTGATTTCCATGTGTAGAGTCACCTCTTGTGTGTTTGTAATGACCAGCTTGTTCTCATGACAAAACTCTATTAGCCTTTGCCCTGCTTTGTTTTGAACTTCAAGGCCAAACTTCCCTATTGTTCCTTTTATCTCTTGACTCCCTACTTTAGCATTCCAATCCCCTAGAATGAGAAGAACATCAGTTCTAGAAGGTGTTGTAAGTCTTCATAGCATTGGTCAATTTCAACCTCTTCAGCATTGGTGGTTGGTGTACAAACTTGGATGACTGTTATGTTGAAAGGTGTGCCTTGGATTCGTATTGAAATCATTCTCTCATTTTTGAAATTGTATCCCAGTACAGCTTTTCCCACTCTTTTGTTGTCTATGAGGGTTACCCCATTTCTTCTATGGGATTCTTGCCCAAAATAGTAGATATGATAATCGTCTGAATTGAATTTGCCCATTCCCATCCATTTTAGTTCACTGACACCCAGGATGTCAATGTTTATTCTTGCCATCTCCTGTTTGACCACATCCAGCTTACTACCAAGGGTCATAGATCTTACATTCCAGGTTCCTATGCAGTATTTTTCTTTGCAGCATCAGACTTTCCTTTCAATTCCAGGCGTGTCCACAGCTAAGTGTCCTTTCGGCTTTGGCCGAGCCACTTCATTAGCTCAGGAGCTAGTTGTCCTTGTCCTCTGCTCTTCCTTGGTAGCATGTTGGATGCCTTCCAACCTGAGGGGCTCATCTTCCAGCATCATATCTTTTAGCCTTTTGTTTCTGTTCATGGAGTTTTCTTGGCAAAGATACTGGAGTGTCTTGCCAGTTCCTGCTCCAGGTGGATCGCGTTTAGTCAGAACTCTCCACTATGACCTGTCCGTCTTGGGTGTCCCAGCAGGGCATAGCCCATAGCTTCTCTGAGTTACTCAGGCCCCTTCTCCATGACAAGGCAGCAATCTGTGAAGGGGCTTATCCAGAAGTGTGCATAATAATAATGTGCACAATGTGCAAATAGCAACCCTGCCTATAGGAAAAGCTGCTTCCATAATAGTTTGAATGATTTCCACTTGCTTAACTATGCTGTCTGTTCTTGGAGGACTTTAGTAAGAGTTGCCACATCACAACTAGTGACTGTGGACAAGGGAGGATTCACCTCACTCATGAGCCAATCAAGTTCCCTTGGCTTAGTGTCAATCTCTTGTCTTGGAGGGTCTCAGTATGCTGACTTGTCTGGCAGAGGCTAGCTAAATGCCAACATCAGGGAAGATCAAGGACTAGATCAGAAAAAGCTGCCTGAATAGTCCTGGCACTACAGGATACCACGTTCTTTCTGTAAACCTGATGTGACTGTATTGCGACAATCTTTTGAAAGCCATTTTGAGAACTTTTTTGAGTATAAAGAGTGGCATAGGTCTGCTAAATAAATATATAATGAATAAAAGCAGACACATAAAATCAGCTAAATATGCAAACTAGCACCAGTTGCTTTTATTTCAAGGTGTAATCTGAGGTAGAAATCCACTTTCTTATACAAACAGAAGTGGAGCCCCTGTCCTGGACTGGGACTCTTTGCATGGTATGTTGGTATATGGGGTCTTGTTTACCACTGCTGCTTTTCTGATTCACTGCAGAAGACCTGCACCGTGGAATGTACATGCAGGGTTCTCTCTTAAGTCACTTGAATGGCTCCAGATAATTTATCACCGAAAGAAAGCAGGCTGCAAATTCTGCATTTGTTGCATTCTCTTAAAATTCTTCTAAGAACAATTATTTACTGAACAAGAAAATCCTGCAGTTAGTGTAAGCTTCCTTCCAAAAGCTTTGAATCATTTCCAGTACCTTCACAACATGCGCATGGAAAATTCTCATGCACTGCCTAAATACAAACAGCAGATGACCTGCATGGAAGATCTTTCTTTTCCTTGAGTCACTGCATAGTTTTATAATTTATGAATTATATATCAGTTTGGGCACTTTATAGAATAGTAAAGCATATAATTAGACATACTTCCCTTTGGCTTAATAAAACTTACGTATTTTTCGCCAGTTCAGCATTTTTCGCCAGTGGGTCAATCCAATACCAATATGATAACATGCTATATTTTACAGTTTCTTTTAAAAGCTGTATGCCAAGCAGTTTTATTTCAGAAATAGATGATTATTATAAATGTTGCCAAATGACAACCTGACAGACATCTGGCAATCATAAGATCTTCCTTATAGGAAGACATCTCTGAACTCTTTTTGCTGTTCCTTACTTACTGCTCTGAACCAGGTGTCAGTTTAGAAAACCAAAAGGTCAGGCATGCTTCAGGTTAAGTGTTCTAATTCCACGAGGGTCAGAGAAGCCCTGTTCTCCTTATACTTTGTGATCACCCTCTTAGATATTCTTGTAGAAAGCCACAGATAAGACCTGATCTGCCTAACACTGGGTAAGCTATACAAGGGACTTTGCTAGTTTGGATTTGGGTCCTGATTCAATATGGATGCGTCCCTTTCATGCTTTCCATAATTGGAGCAGTTCTCTATGTGCAACTCCACACTTAGAAGCTTTGAGAACATCAGAGTACAGCTGGAAAAAATGAAGCTTGCCTAGTAAAAGCAGTATGCTTTACACGTTACAAATAATGTGGCTACTTTCTCAAAATATGAAACACTCTTTAGCTGGTTTCTAGGCTAGGTACCATTAGAAAATTTGGCAAGAGAGCCAAATTCCCCCACTCCCTTTCAGCTTTTTGCTGTTAAAACATTGAAAATAATTTAACTACATTTCTAGTGAAATACACTTTCCTCTTTATCGGTTGTGGTTTTTATCTTAATAAATCATGTAATGTTCTAATAGATTTTAATGCTCATGGCTGAAGATTTATGGTATTATTATTCAAGCCCCATTTTATGGAACAGGTTAATGTCCCTTTTAAAATCCCCATTATTTTATTTACTGATTGAGAAAGCACAAAACTGAAATAATGGCTTTATGGCTGATTAAATGTAAGGATAAAAAATAGAATCACTTTGCTCACATGTAGGCTTTGTAGTTGTTGCCTATCTTTTGGATCCTGATGTCATATTTGGAGTCTATGTAGGGTTCAGTGGTGGCATAGGTCTGAGTGAGTGCCACCACGCTGGCTATATCCTGAAAATCATAATGGTTGTCTACTTTGACCTGTTATCAACAGATATACAGAATGGGGGAGACAAAAAGAACAAAGAAAAGGAAGGAAGAGAAAGTTAGGGTTGCCTCATAAAGAAGGTGCCACATCTTGTACATATACTGTATTATAAACTTCTGTTTTCTTTTTCCACAGTATTCTATTCCTTCTGGCTTGGAGAATTTGGAAGTTTGAAATGCAAAAGATTTGGAATACAAAAAGCAAACATACCATCAAAATATGGCTAGATTTCCCACCTTCCATACTTACTTTGAGTCTAGAAAATGTCAAGTAACAAGTGTGCTGTTTAGGAAACTGCCCTCCCCTTCTGTTTCAGACTGCATGATTATTTCTCAGCTTGTTTTGCAGTGTAAAATGTAACCACAATAGATGGTCTTGAAATCTTTTGCTGCTGCTGTTCTTTTTCTTTAATTGCAACCTACCTATTTCCCAGCCTGAAATAGCAGTTGTGACAAGTAGTGACTTTAAACATATTTAAAGGAGGGACACTACATTTCTATTTTTTTTTTAAATGAATGGAAAGATGACATTATTGATTATTCTCAACAGGTCAAGGAGAGAGTGGACCAATGGTGACTGACTTGAAATGAATGGGAAGATGACATTATTAATTATTCCCAACCCATTAAGATGGTCTGCCCCTGCAGGCTTTTGGATCAAGGTGATGGTACTAACCTATAAGGTCCTAAACAGTTTACCCCCGCCCCGTGTGGAGCAGGGACCCATTAAGATGGTCCGCCCCTGCAGGCTATTGGATCAAGGTGATGGTACTAACCTATAAGGTCCTAAACAGTTTGGGATCTCAATATTTGGCTGAGCACCTCCTTGCAGTTACGTTTGCCCATCCTATAAGATCATCACAGACAGCTGAGAGTTCTGACCCTGGGAAAGGCCCAGAAAACAGCCACTAGAAATCAGGCCTTCTTGGCGGTAGCTCCACAACTATGGGACTCTCCTCCGCCCAAAGTCCACCTGACCCCTTCAGTGGGCACATTAAAAAAAACCTACTAAAAACCTGGCTATTTAGACAGGCCTTCCCTGAACAAACTACACTAGTAGTTTGGATACAATAGTACCCAATAATATAACTTCTATCATACTGCCATGCTCCATGCTTTTTTATTTTTTTATGCTTTTAATTGTATTTATTGTATTATAATTTTACCCTCACGTTACTTTCTGATTTTTTATTTTCACACCTATGTATTAATGTTGCTATTTGCTTTTTTGTGACTCTGTTATTTTTTGTTATTTGCCGTAAACTGCCTAGAGTGGCCTTGGCTGCCAGATGGGCGGTATGTAAATCAAATAAATAAATAAATTAACAGCAGCAGCAAAAAGGCTCATTATTACTGAAGTCCTTTAGTATAATTTCTGGTGATTATTTGTTTTAAAATGGACCCAATGGCCGATAATCTTTTGTGGAGCTCCGCCAACAGAATCGGAATGACATCACTGGCAATATCAAATTACCACTAATTAAAGAGTTGCTTCTTCAGTATCTGTGACTCTTGTGCAATGAGACAAAATTGCATGCTTCCCAAAACTGAAAAAGCAATGTTTTAAATCTGTGGCAATATGCTGCTTAGCCACATCATTTTTGCTCTGTCACAAGAGGACACAGGCCAGTAATATCAGACACTATATATATATATAAAAAATGAGGACCTTTCTACAAGCAAACATCAGTCCTAAGATGCAGAACAACAAAGGACAGTTTGCATTGTTTCAAATTCAAGTGTAATTAAATAAACCAGCAAACACCTTATAAACTGTATGATTATATGAAGTCAACTGAAGTATGCATAGAAAGTATTGACAATTATCTCCTTCATGTTCCATTTTCAAAATATTACTTGAAAGCTTTGGATAATTTCAATTTTCTTTGTAAAAATGTTTGAGTAGAGGGTTGAAAGCAGAGCAACAACAAGAAGGAACAAACCATGTAAAATGGGTGGCCTTATCATTAAATGTTATCTCAGTATCTCAGGTCATCCAGGTATACTTAAACCCATGAGAAATAATTTCATCATGTTTTAATAGATTTGATCGACTAGCACCAATAGGTAAAGGTAAAGGTTCCCCTTGACATTTAGTGCAGTCATGTCTGCCTCTAGGGGGCGGTGCTTATCCCCGTTTCCAAGCCATAGAGCCAGCGTTTGTCCAAAGACAGTTTCTGTGGTCATGTAGCCAGCGCGACTAGTCACGGAATGCCGTTACCTTCCCCCCGAGGTGGTTCCTATTTATCTACTCACATTTTTATGTGCTTTTGAACTGCCAGGTTGGCAGGAGCTGGGACAAGCAACGGGAGCTCACTCCATTACGTGGATTCGATCTTACGTCTACTGGTCTTCTGACCTTGCAGCACAGAAGCTTCTGCGGTTTAACCCACAGTGCCACCACGTCCCCATTAGCACCAATACTTTTTGTTAATTGTGACCCTCCCAGCAATGGTAACTCTTTCAATCTAAGGGGCATGTACCTGACTGATTGCAGAAGATGGCTCTTTTAGAGTGGAAAAGGCTGCTCAAGTGGTGAATATCATATGTAAAAATATGACACTGAGCAATTTTTGTAAAAGGATTAAGAACATAAGGAAAGAATTAGATTTCAGCCTAGGGGGCTCTTGGAAAAGACAAAAATTAGAACTCCTGAATTGTTCTCCGTTAAAATCTGAATCAAAGAGTGCCGAGCCAGGCTCCGTGACACCCACCAAGCTCAGCACCAATCCTTATCTCTTCTTTACTTTACCTCTCCTTACAATCGATGGTGCAGAAGAAGGCAAAAGACAGTTGAGAACGGAGGTCTCTGTTTCTCCAACTGATCTTTTGTGTCTGGAAAATACTGCCTGGAAACCACAGAGGCTTTATATTGCCCTCCCCTTACTCTGTAGCATTTGCTCCTGCTGGACTTCCAGACAAGGAAGTAGGGTTAACATGGAAAGAGAAGACTGTTTGGGGGGTTCAGATTTACTGGACTTAAAGATGAGCATGGGTGGCCAGGAGGAAATAGAATGACTTGGCTTGCTAACGAATCATGTATTTCTGCATTGGGGAAATAGTTCATTTTAATTTTCATGTCAGTCCCTGGAAAAAAACATGCCTGTCAATAAAAATAGGGACAGAGCCTGGTTCATTACAGAACTATACAATGGGATTAATAATATAAATTCAGGGGGAAAATCATGGGTGTACAGTATTCCTTTCCCAAGTTATTTGTCAGTTTTTATTCAAGTGACTACATATTTTTCGATGTACCTTTCAAATTAAAGCACTGACTTTCAAAGGAGAATTATAAACCTATGTTCAAACAACTTATACATATGTCCTGTATATGTGAAATAGACATTGATGGGCTTCTGAGTGTATGCTTTCTTATGGATTTCCATAATTACTGCCCTGGTTCCATTAGAAAGCTTGGTGCCTATAATATTTATGTAACAGACTTAACAAGTAGCTCCATCACTTCCCCTGAAGATAGATAAGTAGCACCTGCACCTTTCCCATGCCTGAATGAGCGTGTCCAATCTTCACAACAACAGGAAATGTTGGCAATGTCAGCTGAGGGCAAGAAAGAAAGAAAAAAACACAAAATTTAAAATGGCATTTATACACTGTATATTTCATTAGCAGGATCAGACTTCCCTGTAAGAAGAAAGGATTGATTAAAAACCATGACAGTTGAGATTTGGCTGGTTTTAAATATCTGTATGTATCAAATTGGCATTCTCAGTTCTATGCACACTGCTCTCATTCCTGCCTTTTATTTTATATAATGAAAGGAGGTATAACTTCCTACAGACAACATTTTTGTTGAACACATGGGCGGTGAACCCAGGCCACCCCCACTGCCTCTCTTATCTGCACTGTGTGTTCACACATCCAACACATGAAGAGGGTTTCATTCAGGAACCATTTGATTGCTGCTGCAATGCAGGGCTGATTTGAGGAAGATGAGTTGGTGAGTCAGTGTCCATGGCATTTTTCAATTTAAGGAGGAGACATGCCACCGTTGCCACACCATGGCATGTCAAGAAGACACTCTTTCAAGCTGAGTGCGAATCCCATCTCCAGTTGAAGCACTAACCCAAAACCCAGAGAAAAAGAAATACCATTGTAGCCACATCTTGGTTGCTTTTTGAAGGTAGGGGTCAATGGCAGAATTTTCCAGCCTCTGTGGTTACCCTGGTGGCTACCTATAGGCCCTGACAAAGAACCCAACAAGGCCACTTGCTGTCTGCCTGCTGTAGGTAATACAGCGATACTGCACTATAACAAGTGTATACTGCACAGCTATGCATAAACAAGAGGTATGATTAAGTAAATACTGTATATGTATTCATTACCATAAAATGTTTGCCAATTCTAAACTATCACATTCACAGTAGAGAGGTTGAAAGCAGATAAACAACGGAAAGATACCTTCAAAGTTCATTTTAAAGCTTTATATATTATCTGATTATAACAGATGTAAACCTAATATCTGAACGGAGGTCAGTAAGTATAGCCTTTTGAGGGAACAGGACGAAAAAGAAATGAATCATACGTTTTAATTTCCGTAACTGCAGCATAACACTAAAATGGATTGTGGGAAACTTTTGCTTTGCCTAGAATTTTGTGTCCTAATATGTTCAGCATAATAATTAGGGTTCACAAAACGTAACAGCACATAAGCTTATATTCAAGCACTGCTCAATGACTAAGGGGAAAGGTCAGTAACATTACAGTATTACATTATAACGGTACTTCTCTTAGCAAGATATCATGAAATGGAAGAGCTAAACCTTCTGTTCTGGAAACAATTTTGGTGATACAGACAATTTTCAGTTAGGCAACTCTGTTTGGTAGCTTATCTCTGACATACCAGGGTGGATAAAAATCAATGATTTTTATAAAGTTATGATTTAACTTAACAATCTAATTTTTTAGTTTAAATAATAAAGAAATCCATTTTTTTTAAAAAAATTACATCATGATTTAAATCAAACAGATTGAATCAAATCCACCCCAAAGCAGGATGAAGCACGAAGTATTCTAAATTAGCAAAGATTATGTTTGTGTACCCCAAATGCAGCAGACTGTATGTGTCTGCTTCTTCCCCTCTAAATAGCTCAGCATACACACTTCCTTCAGGACAGCCCCCTGGTTCACAAGAGACTATGATTTTTAGTGGTCTATAAAGGTACTGTCTGTATTTGTATTTTATTTTGTTATGACCACACAGTTGTCCTTTACTTCCCTATGACTGTTAAGTCATCATAAAGATTACCTGGAGGTGTTACTTGTGTCATGTGATGGAAGTACAATTCTCTTATTCCAAGCAAAGGTTGGAGTTCTGCCACCTTCATGAGAGTGAATGGTAGGTATGCAGAGAAAATAGTTGCCAGTCCCAAGTAGCACAGGCTCATTAAGTCAATGAGGCTACACAAATGTTGACCTGCCAGTCCACAATTGATTCAGTGGGTCTGCTCTAGTTGTTATGAGCAACTGGATTTAGGCCATTAAGATGAACAACGGCTCTACACAAACTTGGCTAGACTTCAAGCTTGCAGACTTGAGTGAAAAGTGGTTTAAATAATAATAATAAAAAAGAATAAGGTTCACAGTAACCCAGTCTCTAAGTGGATTTTGCCAGAGATGTAAGACAATAACCTGTACAGCTCTCAATAACTTTCAGACTTGTCACTTTTGAAAACTGGGATTTTAACCACTTAGATGAATACCTGAAGTGACAAGCTTGAAAATGCTTGAAGCATATAAGGATGCTTCAAGATCCACAAACAAGAAAGCAATAAAAGAAGAAGAAATTGTACTTCATTTGATCAACTATTCTGATGGCTAATTCCATTTTGAAGTCTTGATGGAACAACACAATTATGAAATAGTTGGGCTCATTATTGCTGCACACAGAAGGAATGGTACAAATCTTGCCCCATGTCTTAGTTATGAGAAAATTTTAATCAGCTTTCCTTTGCCAGCTTCCCACAATATGGTTTTGATGATAGTTATCTCTGACCATGCTGACTGGAAGGTGATGATGAGAGTTGCAGTCTGAAATAACTGGAAGTTGCCAGGTGAGGAAAGGCCAAATGCAAGAGAGAGAGAGAGAGGGAGGGAGGGAGGGAGGGAGGGAGGAGAGAGAAGGAATCAGCCACAGAAGATAGTCATGTGTGCCAGTGCCTATGGCACGAACTACTACTGCTATCTATATCAACACCCCAAACTCTTCACAGAATAAGCAACATTTTCTCCTAATTACAGGAAAATAGTTCAGATGACTTGCTTAGAATGTCCAATTAGTACACTCAGAAATAACTTTTTCAACACTTTATGCTGTCAAGTGGTGGACTGGATTATGTTTAGATATAATTTATAGTGCTAAATAGGGTTGTTCCCTCAATTTTTTTTCCTGAAAAAACAACAACACCCTGATATCATCAGCAGATTTGTATCCCACAAGTACTATAAAACTTCAGCATGTCCTTATTTTTGGCTAAACTGCGGTTTTATCATCTTAATAACCACAAACCCTCATTTTATGCCTCTGCAGATGAAGTGCTTCCTATTCTATAAGTCACATTATGTAAAGTTATTATCATTAATGCATGTTGCATTAATGTAAATTACTACTGTGTATTTTCAGTGGGTTCAAAGACTAGAAAAAATAGCAAACTATGAAATACAAAGAATTTAAATTCCTCGCCCTTATGGAGAAACTGTGTATCTTCTGTCCATAAAATCAATCCTGTCCACTGAAGATGCTGCTTCTTCCAATGGACATACTCATGGGCATATGTCATGTTCCAGTCCAAGAATAAGTCAGAACAAGCTCTGGAATCAAAGTCAAGACTGAACAAGGAAACAGTCAAGTAGGAACTGAAATGAGGAGCAGGAGTTAAGTTAAAAACTCTACTAAGAATGAAGAAGCAGAAGATAAGAGGGGCATCTAGTTACAGAATCAAACAGCATTCCAGTTACCAAAACCATCTTCAATCAGCAAGTCAGCAATGGTCATCCAAGAGTCAAATGAAACACAGTCCATGATCTGGTGCTGGTACATAAAAACATCAAGTACCACAGGAACAGCTGTCAAAGTCTAAGGCTCAGCACTGACACTGTTTCCAGCAACCTTCCTCTCCAAAATCTGGAGGGAGGGAGGGAGGGAGGGAGGAGAGAGAAGGAATCAGCCACAGAAGATAGTCATGTGTGCCAGTGCCTATGGCACGAACTACTACTGCTATCTATATCAACACCCCAAACTCTTCACAGAATAAGCAACATTTTCTCCTAATTACAGGAAAATAGTTCAGATGACTTGCTTAGAATGTCCAATTAGTACACTCAGAAATAACTTTTTCAACACTTTATGCTGTCAAGTAGGAATCAGCCACAGAAGATAGTCATGTGTGCCAGTGCCTATGGCACGAACTACTACTGCTATCTATATCAACACCCCAAACTCTTCACAGAATAAGCAACATTTTCTCCTAATTACAGGAAAATAGTTCAGATGACTTGCTTAGAATGTCCAATTAGTACACTCAGAAATAACTTTTTCAACACTTTATGCTGTCAAGTGGTGGACTGGATTATGTTTAGATATAATTTATAGTGCTAAATAGGGTTGTTCCCTCAATTTTTTTTCCTGAAAAAACAACAACACCCTGATATCATCAGCAGATTTGTATCCCACAAGTACTATAAAACTTCAGCATGTCCTTATTTTTGGCTAAACTGCGGTTTTATCATCTTAATAACCACAAACCCTCATTTTATGCCTCTGCAGATGAAGTGCTTCCTATTCTATAAGTCACATTATGTAAAGTTATTATCATTAATGCATGTTGCATTAATGTAAATTACTACTGTGTATTTTCAGTGGGTTCAAAGACTAGAAAAAATAGCAAACTATGAAATACAAAGAATTTAAATTCCTCGCCCTTATGGAGAAACTGTGTATCTTCTGTCCATAAAATCAATCCTGTCCACTGAAGATGCTGCTTCTTCCAATGGACATACTCATGGGCATATGTCATGTTCCAGTCCAAGAATAAGTCAGAACAAGCTCTGGAATCAAAGTCAAGACTGAACAAGGAAACAGTCAAGTAGGAACTGAAATGAGGAGCAGGAGTTAAGTTAAAAACTCTACTAAGAATGAAGAAGCAGAAGATAAGAGGGGCATCTAGTTACAGAATCAAACAGCATTCCAGTTACCAAAACCATCTTCAATCAGCAAGTCAGCAATGGTCATCCAAGAGTCAAATGAAACACAGTCCATGATCTGGTGCTGGTACATAAAAACATCAAGTACCACAGGAACAGCTGTCAAAGTCTAAGGCTCAGCACTGACACTGTTTCCAGCAACCTTCCTCTCCAAAATCTGAGGGGGTTGTCAACTCAAGGAACCATGAACTGTGAGTGGAATGGGAATTCAATACACATCTGCCATATTCTAAACCACGAATGTATTCTACTGCATTGAGAGGATTTTGCAGAGAGAATTATGAGATGCATTCACCCCTTTCTTCAAAAGACTTGTTTTGCTACCTCATTGTGTGCAC